TTCCCCAAAAGATCTCAAGAAAGAGCTTCAGATTTTCCTGGAGTCATAAATCATATTTACCTTCACACGACTGGTTTTCCATGGAGCCAGAGCTTTCAGGTTTGTCTGCCGGATGTATTGTGTTACTGAAACTCAGAAATGGCTGCTGTGCACGCCAGTGGTTAGGAAAACTCCAAGACGTAACATTATCTTCCTCGACTGATTTGGGGAAAGAATGTTCATAAAATATATACTGCTTTTGGTTAGGGGCTGATTTCTAAATAAACGGACTCCGCAGTGGAAATTCTAGAGAAGGGCAAAACAAAACATGCGTCTGTGAATGTGCGTCTTTAAAATCGGCTCTCCCACAGTCTCTGCCTTTTGCAAGCACTCTCAAGACTATAAAGCCAGTTGCATTAAGTTGAAGATTTGGGGCTGTTCCAGGGGAACTTCGTTTTCAGCTGTGGAGGGAAATCTGTAAAGTCTTCCGGACCCTTGCTCTCCCCTGTTTCCCAGCCTCTGGTCCAGCCTCTCAGGCTAAGGAGGCGCTTCCCCGCAGGGGGCTGGGGCAGCCATTTGTTGAGAGTCAGGAGGGAGGGAAGAAGGGAAAGAAAGCTTTGCTATAACAAGTCGGCCAGTCCTCATGGGCCCTAACAAAATAGGAAACGCTGGTGATTAAGGGACTGCGCTGCATCCAATAAAGAAAGTGCTAATCCACACCACACAGGGCCAAACTGAGGGGGGGTACCTTCCCTAATCTGCAGTGAACTGGGGTCAACTAGATTTTTATCTCTCACACAAACAGGGAAGGAGAAAACAACAAGAAGGGAACCTGCACGGCTTGGTTAGATCCTGCTTTTCACACAAGACTGCACGACCGACAGCTACACAGGGTGCTTCCAGAAGATCAGAAGGCAAAAATATGCAAGTAAATATGGCTGGCCCAATGTCCATGTGTATTTCTAAAAGAATGATGAATCAGACACATAACGGCAATACACACATATAAATGTTAAAATTGTACCATGTGGCTTTGATTTAAGGTAAAAATAAGATAGCTTTAACTCTTGAGTTGTCATGATAAAGGTTAGATCAGAAACCACATGCATACTACATAGTTTTTACTCGATCTTTCTACAATTTAATGCAGAGATTTTTAACCTCTTTCATCTCATGACACACACAAACTAATTACTAAAATTATGCAGCACGCCAAAAAATAAATTTTTTGCCGATCTGACAAAAAAAAAAAAATGTATAATTTTATTCATTCACACCGGAGAGCTATTGTTGTGTTGGTTGTTGTCATTTTTTTATTTGACAATCTAAGAGAAAAGAGGTCAGTACCTCTGACTAAACAGTCAGGTATTGCATGTTTAAAAAATTTTTGTGGTACACCAGTCAAAAATGGATGGCTTACTATAGGCTAGTTTAAAAAAAGTATAAAGATACTCCCTGCCTTCAATTAGCTTATATTCTATTT